AGTGCACGCTGTGTGCGGGCGTCGTTCCGCCTAAAGACGCAGACCGGCGGGTGCGAGGCCTGCGCCCGCCACTCGCTCGTCTACGCGTCGCACAGCGTAACGTTGTGTCCCTTGATGGTACCGGAAGACGACGACCAACCACGTGCAACTCGCACGCGGCCGTCGGCAGGCCATGCCATGAAGGCGACGAAGGCCAAGGCGTAGGAACGAAATCTGAGGCCCTGGCAGTGCAGAATATGGAATCAAACATCCTCCCGACCGACGTTTTGAACGTTTTGCTGGGTGTGTTTAAAACACTCTCAACTTCAATGACGCGCCATGGAACGTTCTCGATACTGTACATACTGGTTGCATGAGCGCAGTACACTGTACTACCAACGTCGCTCCAAGTACTGTACGTCTCACCGCCATGAGGCGGAGTCGAGTACAAGCAGAGTCTAGAGTACGGTACCACACTCATTCATTGCATTTCTTTTTCCACTACTACGATCTTAGCTTCGTGCTGCAGAACTTGACGCGAAGCTCCAAATTGGAGTGCGATCTTGTCTGCGTCGAGACTGTGCACAGTCTTGAAATGGAAGCAAAAGAAGATACGACATTCTGATCAAGGGTTCATCACGACGTGGCAGGCGACGGAGCCGCGTCGACTTGCTGGTGAATCGCATCAAATGCAACGATAACTAGCATACACGAGGATCAAGAACGAGACCATCGGACCACATTGTATTACCGTTTGCTCAATGAAAAAATCACAGAAGGAGCTTGTAGGGCACCGATTTTCAGGGGATTGATTCTGGTAGCAGCTGTCTCACTGCAAATGTGTTTGCTCCACCAGACTACCAATCCGATGGTCTACATGCGGTACCTGCACTGATGCGTTTGGTGCGTATGGATGGCTGGTTGGTACATTGTACAGTGTGCACGTGAAACCAATGACGTGATACAGTGTACGCGTAAAACCACGTGAAAAAGCCAGTTTGCAGCTGCTTTCTGCGGGTGCATACAAGGTGTTTCTACGGTACATCTGCCACGCCGTAACAGTGATAGATACCCACAAGAACGGTGCTTAAATAGACCACTGACAATGGTCTAGTGGAATGGCCACTATTTGCAGAGAGTTGAAGGGACAGGGATCGATCCCCCAAAGGACGATACCCGATAAATTTCCTGTGCGAATTTCTTTTTCTCGATTTTTGAAAAAAGGATACGCAAAGTAAAATGGGAGGCGATCCGCGAACAACCCAATGCCATCCATACACATGTCAGCGCTTCTTTCTTTTGCCCATTGGACCTATAACAGGGTTTCTTGAAAGACGTCGACAGTGTACGTAGGTTGACGAACGTGTGCGACGTGGTGATAGGGAGATCAGCGTTCTGTGACATCCATGGTGCTTCCTCGGGCTTGCTTTGCACGAATGCACAATCGAGATCCGTCAGCTCATTGATCTGCCGAGCCCCAGACCGGGCTCGTCACGGCTGGTGAGACTCGATATCGAACATGCTGGTTGAAATACAAAATACACGTAGTATCAAAAACAAGTCACATCCTACGGGGTCGCGCCGAGGCGCAGAATCGCCTTGCGAAGGCGCGCGCGGTGAGCAAACTTGGTGATGCATATTTCGGTGAGCGCTTGCTCGACGTGACCATGTACATACGTGTAAGCGTCGTTCTTCGCATTATTGGATTTGGCCACAACCGATGCAGTGGACATTGCTCTTGCGGCAGGCGCGTCTTAACAGTATCCTCGCCGCCGCCGCCATCAGCGCCGACCACGCGACGTGCTCGGACCGGACAACTCCAACACCAACATTCACCCCGACGCCGACCAACTCGGGGCCACCGACGCTCAACCAGCAGTGGGTGGTGTGACTTGGGTCCGTAGATAAGTCGCAATCACAAAGGGTTTCGCTTGTTTCTCGTCAAACCATCTTTCTAACAATGACGCTGCCTGCGTCATTGGCGAGTTCACAACATATCACCACCCGTCAAAGTTGGAAAACGTTGTCGTCGCCGGGCGCTTGGCCTTTTTGGCCACCGGCGGCTCCGTGTCGGGCTTCTTTCGGGCCGGTGCCGGGGCTTTTGGCAGGTACTTGCCGACGCCACCTACGACCAGTCGAGACTGAGTCCACGAAATCTCAAGAGATATCTTGTCTACCGGGCGCGGCCGTCGGGTCAATCGTGGGCAGCGATACTACATCCACGACGCCGTCGTAGGCCACCTGCAGCGCGACCACCGTCGGCGCACGTTCAACGTGACATGCCACGTACCCACTCGTCGCCGACCTTGACAACCGTGCCTTTCACGACAGGGGCCTCTTCCTTGCGCTTGAGCTCGAGCACCTGCGTTTTTAGCGAGTTATTTCCGTTTCGACGGTCGACGTCGACGCACCGTGGTGCCGAGCGCGGCCGCCGTGTCGTACATTCTGAATGGATTCTCAAACACGTGCACCGACGTGACGAGGACGCGGTCGTACGGCCGGTCCGTCTTGTCGGTCGCAACGGCTTCGATTGCATCGAGCACCTCGATGCCACCCACGACCCTATTTGTTGAATCCCGACTGTATCAACTCGATACATTGATTGATCGTTGGATACCGGCCAAAGATGCTGTGCTTGTTGTCGAGGTACGTGCAGTCCTTGAACGTGATAAAGAACTGCGACCCGTTCGTGTTGAGGCCCGAGTTGGCCATGCTCAGGATGCCGCGCTCCGTGTGCCGCTACAGACAAGCGTCATCTGCGCCGCCTTTGAAGATGAGATGACGTACGAGGCGGCTGTCGTACTCGTCGCGGAACGGCTTGCCCCAGATGGACTCTCCGCCACGCCCGGTGCCCGTGGGATCGCCACCTTGCATCTATCGACCGATGTCCGTATGTGTATACAAACAACAACTCGAGTTGAGAGAGAGGCGCACCATGAAGCCAGGGACGATGCGGTGAAACTCCGTGTTGTCGTAGTAGCCCTTCTCGCAGAGACTCAAAAAGTTGTCGCTCGTGCGGGGCACCATGTCGACGTCAATCTCGAGGTTGAGGACGCCCAGCGACGTCGTAAGTCGAACGTAACCCTTCTTCTTGAGCTGGCGGACGTCGGCCCAGCGCGCCTCGAGGACTTCCATTTCGGACGCGACGGCTTGCGCGTTGCGGGTCGTCTAGAGGAGCCATGGACTCCACTACCAACGTACGACACGTCAATCACGTACCGGGCCCAGCTCCGTCGATGTGAACGACCGCGAGCACTCGCCGGCGGTAAAGCGCGAGTACTAGGGAAAAGAGTCGCGTGATAGTATACCTCGTCGACTGTACCTGCAGCTTGCTGCCGCCGTCGGCGTCGGTCACCGGCACCGGCTTGGTCGAATGCGACACGTCGGCAATGATCTTTTCTTGGGCCGTGCGCTCGGCTTCGCCCCGCCGAAGCTCTTCTTCGCGCTGGCGCTTCTTTTGCTTGGACGCTTCCATCTACAATCGCGGCTTGTGAGGATGACAGGTCTCACTGCGGGCGACACACCTCTTGGAGGATGCGGCTGGTCGCCGACGTCACGCGAATGTTGTTGAGCGTCTCGGGCGTCGGGTTGGCCTTCTACCGTCAAGGTCTAAGCACACGCACAACGGTACACGGACGTATGTACGGTCTCGGCTTCCTTGGCCTTGCGGAAATGTTCAAAGTTCTCAATCTCGCGGCCGCTAAAGTCGTTGGGGTCCTGGAGAATGAGAATGTCCTTGCGCTTAAAGGCCTCGCCCGACACCAAGTCCTACTTCCATGCATAGCACCTCGTTTTAGAGATAGCAAGCTTCGCACAGTCCAGTTCTTGGCCTTGATGTTGAGTTCGTCGATGGCCTCGTACGCGTAGACGTTGCCCGACGTGGCGACAGCGGCGATCTTGGTGCTGTTGGTAAAGACCTAGAATGTGCCCAGAGATCAGAGAGGCTGCAAGCAACATTCTCTACCTTGTACGTCACGGGGCAAAAGTACTCGCCCGAAGCGTTCTTGTGGAAGCGCAGCTACAAGCGATGAGCACCACGCGGCGACGCTCGACGACAACGCACCTTGATGAGGTCCTTGACCGCGAGCGGCTGGCCCGTCACGGGATTCTACGCCATGTTGACGAGGAGGATCGAGCGACGTCGCGCGTACGATGTTGTGTTCCTTGACGTATGGGATGACGGCCTCAATGTCAAAGAGGTGGCCTTCGCGCGTGCACACGGGGTTCTACATCACATGCGCTTTAGCGTCGGAGGCCATGCAGCAGCACCAGCGTACCACGAAGGGCTTGAGCGAGATCGAGCAGCAGTCAAAGGGCAGGCCTAGGATGATGGAGCGTTAACGTCCGCGTGGCCGTCATCGTACGTACGTCGGTAGGCGCGCCGGACCTCTTCCTTCTTGCCGCCGTAGAGGTACTTGTGCTCCGAGGCCGTGATGAACATGCGGTCCTTGCTGTGCTGGTTCTTCCCCATGCTGCTGCGGCGTCCCTTGCTTCCGTGGCCCTCGCACCAAACTTGAAAAGTCCGCTGTTTTACCGGAATACTATGAAAAAGACGAAATTTTCCCGTAAATTGCCACTGGATTGCCCGAGACAGTAGGTACACGTCACGATGCGACGACCCTGCGCCGGCTCGACGACGGCGGATGCGCGCACGACCAAGTGGAGGAGGAGCACCAAGCCGCTTCATCATCCTCATCATCATCATATGTACATTCATTATACTCGCACGGCAAGGCTCCAGTCTCTACATACATGGCCCCTCTTCGACGCTACACTATGATGCCTAGTTCTCGGCGAGGAACTTCTTGGGCTTGCAAGCGCGCTTGTGGCCAGCCTTCCAGTCTTCGGTCTGGCACTCCTTGGAGCAGTAGCGCACCGAGATGCAGCGGGCGCACGACGTCGTCGCGGTCTTGCCGCACGCGTAGCACTCGTGGCCCGTAATGTGCTTCATAAAGCTAGCAGCAAATAGAGTCCATGAGCCCTCCTGCGCTGCCATAAAGCGTGGCCGTACCCAAGCTTGCGCAAGTCCTTCCACGTCTCGCTCGGTTCGGCGCTCGTCTGTGTGTGGTACATATCGCAGAAGCCGCGCTACAGGGTGTCTATGAGCATGTGGGCGGGCTTCGCCGTCGATGGCGTACCTGGGTCAAGCCCTTGTTCTCGTCGCAGTCAAAGTACATGTGGATCTCGTTGAGTTCCTGCTCCGTGAAGCCCTTGCCGTCGTTGCAGGCCTTGCTAAAGTTGTTGAGCTGCTCCGACGTCAGCGCGTTCGTGCCCTCCGAGTACTTCTGGAAGATGCGCTTGAGCGCATGCGCGAACGGGCCCGTGAGCTCGCCCTTCTCGTTGATGAGGAGCGTCTTGGCGGGGTCGGCCTCGGCCTTGGCGGCAGTCTTCTTGCTCGGCATCTCTTCTTCGTGTCTTGGTCGAAATCGAAAATGGCACCAACCCCGCTGTGCCACACCCGGGACCACGTGGCCGCTGACCCAGACCTCCACATATTGATATATTGGTCGATTGCATATTCAAGTGCGCCGTCGCGTCTTGGCGCGGCCCCTGAAAAACCTCTGACATGTAATACTCGCAAGATCCAGTGCTCGAAGATCGCAGTCAGTCGGGTGCTGGTTCGATGTACCTGGCGCAAACGCGCGTCACTGGCGACGCCGATACCAAAGACAAAAAAGCAGGCGCCTCTCCCAGTCGTCGAGTAGGCCCTAGCTGCGATCCCAGTGTTTCTGTCGCACCCCAGAAAGGCCACGTCAGCGCAATCGTTGAAGCGCCAACATGCACGTGGCTTGGTTAGCTGCCTTGGACGCAACGAGCCACCGCGATAACGCAGGATGCTATTAGCTCGTCTTGCAGACAGGTTCAGCCTGTGTGATCACAAGCTTAGTCGTCGTCCAAGCAGGCCGTCTCGATGACATGCACCACGTAACGTCTTGGTCGCTGGCACTTGCACCAAAACGATTGTGTGTAAAATTAGCAGTCGTAAAATTAGCGCCGGCATCGAAAACCCCGCCAAGGTCGTTGACGTGACAGTCGATGGCAGCGCCGCGGAAGAGGGAGTCGCTCAAGCCGATTCCGACGCAGATCGCCGTCGCACCACGCCTGACAGCAAACAATGACACGCTGCCTCGGGCCACGCGTTCGTCGCTCAAGCCGCTAGGAAACAGTGCAATGGTTGACAAGCATGCGCCTATGACACAGTCGACACCAAATGTGATGCGAAAAGCGTCAAGTGTTAAAGCGCCGGCGCACCACGAGCTTGCAGCAAATAAGATTAGCCCCGGCGCACGAACGACCACGGCATCAACACTGCAGCGTCGAATGACAGCAGCCGCGTCAGCGACAACGCCGCAGCCAACGCCGACACCAGCGCCGCGGCGAAGCATTGCATTGGGTCAAGTCGTCCGCACGCGCCGACCAGGTAGCACGCACACGATGCAGCGGTTTTTACATGGTGCTGTGGTAGACGACGTCGAGCTCAGGCGGCCCGAGACGATCGAGATTGTCGTCAAGTACCTCTGTACGCCATCACTGCATGTACTCTGTCGGAGCGGTTGAAGCGTAGTGGGCCAAGTCGAATTGCGCAAATTTCGGGAGCTCTTTGATCACATTGACGTCGAGTCGGCACCGTGGCGTGCTATGACGTAGCTCAGTATCGTGTCTGTCTAGTCGCGCGGGAACCATCGATTACGATGAATTTTTCGACTTTATCGAAGACCGACGCACCAAGTTTTCCGACAACTTGTTTCGCCAAATTGGTGCGACGATCTTTTCGAAATGCCATAATGACTGATGAACTTGCGTGATTTGTGGGGTAGATCCCAAGTACGACGGCACGGTACGCTCGCACACTCCTCGTATGCTTTCCAGCGTCGCGTAGTTGGATTTTGAGCACTTTGTGCACATTTTGACGTCGTACTGCATGCGGTCCCGTGAAGAAATCTTGCAATGTACGACATCACCCTGTCGCGTCGTTCCCGGGAGCATTTATCCGTGCCTCTAGTCGCTTTCGATACGTTTGACGACGACGCCAGCGGGTCTCTCGACGAGGTTCACTCGACGTGACGTATCTTTCTTTCTCACGTGACGTAGCTCGAGTTCATGGAGCTTGCGAAAATGATGCACGACGGCAAGCCCGTGTTTGCGTCCAACTTCAACAAGGCGCTGGCCGAATTCGACACGTAGACAACTCGTCCATGTTTGAATGGTGCATAGTTCTTTCGAGGCATGGCGACGGCATCATCACCTTTGCAGCGTTCCAGCAAATCAGCAAGCGGTATCCGATGCTGCTCTTCCCCGCGTTCCGGCTCCAGGACCAAATGCAGCGCATGAGTCTCGGGCTCAACCACTGGCACAAGATCCACGTGCGCTACTTTGACGTCGTCTCGATGGAGGCCTACCGCGTACGACGCCATGCGTCAAAGAGTGTGTTTAAACACGTGCCTTGATAGAAAAAACACAATGGCGCGGCGCCGCCGATCCCGACGCTCAAGAAGATCAAACTCCTCTTTGGCGTCGGCACTTTTGACGTCTACCAGCCGCACACCTAATCGTCGTTTTTGAATGTATCAATATATCAACCCTTTCTGCGTCCCCGACAGCCCGGTCCTGGATGCAACGCGGTTTAGATTCACGTGGTTACCGCTTCATGTACATGCTGGACATGGGGTGTACGGGACCGTCGCCGGCGACGTACTCGAAATATTTGACGGGCTCGGGGCCTCGAAGCGGCAGCGACTTGATCTCATCCACGTGGCACCACGTGGCGCCCGCGCTCTCATAATCAGGGATCGACTTGGGCCGCTGGTTGACATCCACCGGTTCGCCAAGGAACACGAACCGCATGCGGACGTACGACCGGCCGTCGCTGTCCGTCTTGGGGTGGTACTCGAGCCGCAGGAGCCCCGTGAGGCGGATATCGAGGCCCGCTTCCTCCTTTGTTTCGCGGAGCGCAGCTTCGTCGGGCGTCTCGCCCGCGTCTACGCGGCCGCCGGGCAGCCAGTAGCCCGAGCACGCAAACTCTTGGACGAGCAGAAACTGCTTGGTGAGCGGGTGCCGGACGACGACAAGGGCAAAGCAGTAGAGCGACGACTCGGGCGCGCGAAACTCGCTCGGGAGTTCGCCGCGACCGGGCGGTCCGTGGGCGTTGTGCATATGCACCTGGAACGGCGTCGACCGGTGCTGCTTGGTGCTCGACGACGTCGCGCAGATCGGGCATGGGACCTCCGACTTGTTCTTGTCGTTGATGTGGAAGAGCGGGACGTGCGTCCAGAGCGTGTCCTCGGTCATACCGCCCTTCCCGCAGAGCGGGCACGTATACGGTCCGCGGTGGCGCGACGAACTGCTGTCTTCGCGCGCGATCTTGGCAATGATGTTGGTCGCGTCTTCGATCGCGCTCGTGACCATGGACGCGCCGTGCGTAAAACACTCGTAGCGCAGCCGCGCATCGTCCGAGACGCGCGCGCTGAAGACGCAGAGGAAGAGCTGCCGGCTCATGCGGCGCAGCGTCGAGAGCATGCTGAGCAGCGACGGCATCGAGTAGGCCGACGCGACGCGCAGCACGACGAGGTGGACGCTCGCCTGCGACGTCGTCATGGCCTGCAGGAGCACCGTAGGGGCCTCGTGGCCCTCGCAGACGTGGACGCGCAGGCCGTGGCGGTTGCACGCCGAGATGCAGGCCTCGTCGAGCGAGTCGAGCGGCGGCGCGCCCTGCGGATACCCGCCATTCAAGCACCGCACGAGGATGCTGCTCATCCCCGAGTGGCCGCTGCCAGCCGGTTAACCGATAAGAAACCGGTTCGACCAACCGGCACGCGTGGCAGTCTCGAGCGAGATTATGTATTTGTACTTACAGCCTCGGCGAGCTACCTACTATCCTTTCTTCCCAAAGACCGACTCGTACTGCGGGCGAAAGGAGGCCGTTGGCAGCGCCGTCGTCGTCGGTACTATTGCGGGCTTGGGACTGTTGTTGTTGTTCAGGTTGCTGATCATGTTGCTGCTGCTGCTGAGCGACGTCGTCATGGGCGGTGTCGGCAATGGCTTGAGCGGCGACGCCACGACCGGCTTCTTCATCTGCTGCTCTCGAAACACCACATTGATTGGCTGCTTCTTCGGGGGCTGGGCAACCGGCGCGTCTTGGGTGACCACGTCCGCGTCATCGACGCGCTTGCGCTTGAGGAGTGACGCGTCGTCGTCGACCACGACCGGCAACGGCGGCTCGGGCTCGACACGAAGCACCGTGACATGGTCTGTGGCGTCGGCGTGGAGCGTTCGGTTCGTGCGCGGGTCCAAAAGTGGCACCTTGGGCAGACGGCTGTACGCGAGCGAGGCCGGCGCTAAGTAGACTGCGTGAGCGCGTCTGCTTCAGTGCGAAGTATACATGTACCAAGTGGATTCCACACCGAGCAGCGCGGACATGCTTCGTTCCAGCAGCTTCCGTCCAGATCCTATGCATTGGCATGAGACGACCAGAAGTAGAGCGCGGGCGGATGCCTTCTCGACGCCGCAGAGCGTGCAGGACGCCACCAAGAAGAGGTCGATCGTCGGCGAGAGCTCGTCGTGGAGGTCCGTGACCTGCGTGTACTGCATGTCGAGGGCCGCTTGCCAGTCGCGAAGGTTCGGACGGTGCTTGATCTTGTCCCGTCGCCGCATCACGTGTTTCTTGACTTGGTCCTGGAACATGGCGTACCGCGTCGACGTGATGCCCTACGCGCCTCGATCCTCACCACACTGTGGAAAGCTCGAGAGAGGGTACCATGAGGACGGCGCCTTCGGGAAGGTGGAGGCCCTTGGCGTTGCGGTTGTTGCCGTTGGTAGTCGTCGTGCGGCGGCTGCGCTGCACCACGTCTTCTTCCATAAGGACAAGGTCCGACTTGCGAAAGACCTTGAGCGTCTTGGAGATGTTGTCGACCTCGACCGTGCACGTCTCGCGGTCCGCCTTCTTGACGATACCGCTGCCGCCGTTGGCCGGCAAGAGCACCTTGCGCTCGATCCATGAGACGCCGTAGTGGCCGCGGCGCCGGGAGAGCGCGCCGCCCTTGCGCTCGTCGTCTTGCGAGTCGAGGTTCGAGTCGTCCGCGGCGGCCACGTCGCTGTCGCCAGCGTTGGTGCCCGTTTCGTCAATCTCGCTGCCGTCGGGTTTCGACGACGGCGGGAGGAGCGCAATGGCGTCGACGCTTTCGAGCAGCGTGAGCTCGTACGCGCGCTTGGCCGTCTTGGGGGCCATGGGGTCGTCGACCTGCAGCTGGACCCAGCCGTTGCCCGACTTCAAGACGATCGCCGGCTGCCCCGAGTACTTGCCGACGTTGATGCGGACGCGGCGGCCGATCCACATCTCCGTGTCAATGTCCGAGAGAAACGTGCCCTGGTCCTTCTTCTTGGGCTACGTGAAAGGAATGCTATATCTGCGGATGGGATGGGGAGAGACGGGTGGTACCTTGCGGCGAGCGTCGGCGGCGACCGCCTTGGACGACATCGGGTCGTAGTCGTTGTCGTCGTCGTTGTCGCCGTCCGAGTCGGCTTCGTCGTTGGTCGTGGCACTCTTCTTGGCGTCGTCGTCGGTCGCAGTTGCGTCATCCTCGAGCAGACGGAGGAGCTTGCGCTTGACGATGCGCGTCATGGACGGGTCGTTGGTCGGCTGTACCTTGTACCCGGACGGCAGCACCTGCCACAGCAGCTTTTGTTAGCGCAGGCATGGACGATATGGATAAACGAGCTACCTCGAGGATCGTGCAGGCCGAGCCGTTAAGCGGCTTGAGGTCTTTGTTGCGCTTGGCCGCGTCGTCGAGCTTGAGCGTGACGCGCGAGCCCTTGGCGAAGGACGACTTGGCGTCGTGCATCTCGTCGTCAGCGTCAGCGTCGTCGTCGACGTGCATACGGTCGTCGTCGTCGTCGGCGAGCTGTTGGTCGAGATGCAGCCCGTCGGCTTGGGCGTCGCGGAGTGGCCGGAGGCCCGACGCGCGGAACGTGAGCACCTTGCCATTCTCGAAGCGGACGCGGAACCATGTGTTGGGATGGCGCGGCGTCTCGACGATCGTGCCAATCTTGTCGACCATTTGCGGCAGGCGCTGCTCGACGTCGGCCGTGCGCTGGACCACGACCTTGACGTTGCGCCGGAGGCCGTTCGTCTCGGCGGTGCTCATCGCGTGCGGGCGGGCCTTGGACGGCGTGCCCATCTCCGAGTGCGCGTCGTACTCGTCGTTGTCTTCCCCGCCGCTCTTGGCCGACAAGGACGACGACCGCGTCCGCGCACGGCGCGTCGGCGCAGGCGACGGGCTCAAGGGCGCCGATGCATTGCTCGTCGTCGCTGCGTCCGAGCCAATGTCGTCGGCCTCGTCGCTCTCCATCATGCTCCGGAGCTCTTGCTTGGCCATTGCTGCCATCGCCGATACGGTAGCCATCGCCGCTCCTCGATCTATGGTCGCACTGCTGCAGCAACGAAAAAACACTCGCGACCGGGGTCCGGGTGCACCTTTTTTTAAATACCACCCCAAACGCCATTCTATTATCTTGAAGTTTGTATACGCGCAAGGTGCGAGGCCCGGCGCATCAAAGACCCTTTCACATTTAATACCCTACCCCGCAGCGCAAATGAAACCTCTCACATTCGATATTGCACCAAGATTCTATTTTGGCCAGCGCCGAGCACAGTGCGCTGGATAGCGGGCGCCGGGGGCCACAGCGGCCGTGGCCATGCGCCCGCGCTGCAAACGACATTGAAAATGCACGCGCAAAGGTTGTATACATCAGGCCCACCCAAGCGACGAGGGCGGAGGTGCACCTGTGGCGGCGAAACGAGGCGTGGCGACCAGCGACCGCCGCCGCGACCTGGTCGCTCAGCGCACGCAGTTGATCGTGCAACTACGCCTGCTCGCCTCAACTGCAGTGCGTTCGCAGTATGAAGAAGAGCGTAGACTGCTCTGTCGACGAGAGGCGTCCAGCGGCAGCTGCAGAGCCATCGCTCGTCGCGCCCGACGCGCTGGATGGACGTTGCACACGATATTCTATCTCTGAAATAGTGTTGCCATTTAAGAATAACGTAATAGTGTGTAGCACACTATACATATGCAATTCGGATGTATTCGGGAATGGTGTGAGCCTGACAAGAGTCGATAGTACCGAAGGATTCGTTGTGGGAGGTCGCACTGGGATCTTTCGCTCAGATCTCATTCCAAAATCCTTTGGCCGCCGCAGCATGGCCGAGACCGCGTGGCGGGACATGGCCGCGTCCGAGTCGCTCTGGAGCCGCTTGCCATCGCGCGAGGTCGTCCAAGACGCCATCTACAACGCGATCCCGACCAAGGAGACGGTCATGATGGGCATCCACGCAGTACCGAACGCGGCCATGGCCGCGCCGACCGCGATCGCCGGCGCCTTCTCGAGCTGCTTTAGCCGCGCCCGGCGCATGCAGTTTGACCAAGACCAGAAGCGGTCGCTTCTGAGCAACTTGTACCATGACGAGGCGCGGGTCAACATTCGCGACGCCGAAATGGAGAACGCGGCCTTGGAGCTGCGCCGGCGGATCCAAAAGATGGAGTACGAGAAGCACCGGCGCATGGAGCTCGACCAAGAGCTCGGCCTGGCCAAGAAGTCAGGGGGCGGAGACGACCCCGTCGACATGAACCCAGCGACCGACCCCGAGTTTACGCCGCTCAAAGTATCGGACATCCGCAAGATGTCGGTCGACGAGCTCTTGAGCATGGACCGCGCCGAGGCGGCGACAACAGCCAACCTCGTAGCGCCTGCCACGTCGTCGCTCGAAGGCAGTCGCTTGCGCAAATGGCTGTCGGAAGTCGACACGAACAAGAGCATCGAGTACACGTCGTACGCGTCGAGCTTTGAGAAGCATGGGTTCCAGACGCTCAAGGATCTTGCGCAGCTGGACGAAGAGGACGTCGAGCAAGCGCTCACCGAGATTGGCATCACCAAGTTTGCCCACCGCGCGCGCCTTCGCAAGGCGATTCTGCGCCTCGGCGCGACCCCGTAGGATGTGGCTTGTTTTTGATCCTATATATACGTGTATTTTATATGTCAACCAGCACGTTCGATACCGATTCCACCAGCCGTGACGAGACCGGTCTTGGGCTCGGCAGATCAATGAGCCGACGCATCTCGATTGTGCATTCGTGCAGAGCAAACCTGAGGAAACACCATGGGTGACACCGAACGCTCTGCTTCCTATCACCACGTCGCACACGTTCGTCAACCTGCGTACACTGTCGACGTCTTTCAAGACACCCTGTTATAGGCCGTAAGGGCAAAAGAATGAACCGCTGACATTTGCATTGGGTTGTTCGCGGATCCGCTCCCATTTTACTGTACCTTGCGTATCCTTTTTTTCAAAAATCGAGAAAAAGGAATTCGCAGAGGGAATTTATCGGAAGAAAGTCCTTTTCGAGGATCGATCCCAGTCCCTCCAAATCTCTGCAAATTGTGGCCTTTCCACTAGACCATTGTCAGAGTTCCCATTTTGCCACGAAGCCCCGAAGTCTCCACCCGAGTACCACTCTTCTGTTACAAATGGTTGCTACCCGTACGTCCTCCGCCAACGCCCAAGCCTCCACCGCCGCTGCCGCCACCACCACTGCTGCTGCCGACATCCCTGCTGCTGCCGACACCGCTGCTGCTCCGGTCGCTGCCGATGCCGCGGCTGCTGGCGTCGACGGCTCTGCCGCCACTGACTCTGCAGAACTTGTCGCTGCCCATGCCGACTTGGCTGCGGCCAAGACCGCCGAAGATGCTGCCGAGACCACCGCTAACGCCACCGTGGCCGACTTGACTGCCGCGCTCATTGCCGGGACCATCGACGACGTCACCGCTTCCCGGGGTATGCTTGACGCCTTGGCCGCCGCTTTGCCTGCCGTTCTAGCCACGGCCGCTGCTGCCGCTGCTCTTGCCACTGCCGCGGCCGGGACGGACTCGGCAGACGCCACGGCCGCTTCTTCCTTGGATGCTGCTGCGCGTGCCACGAAGGCCACCTTGGCCGTGGCCGAGGTTCGCGCAGAATTCGATGCTCACGCCCACGGCCGCCACGACTCGTCGCGCGAGGCGACTGGGTCTTCCTCTGGCACGGCTTCTCGCTCGACGGACACCTCGTACG